GGAGGAAAGGAGAATTGATAGTACATTAGAGTCTGTGCAAATGTAAGGTAAAAATAAATGTTGTGAATAAAACTTGCACCTCTTTAACTAATTATATTCCAAGCTAATAAAGACAGATTTTATACATACTAGAAACAAGAAGAAAACAAGACAGAAGAGTGGAAAAAAGCTAAAGAATTACTATATAAAATAATTAGTTTTTATATTAGAGAGAGTATTAAAAGGTTTGGAAAAGAAACAAAGAAATAATAAATATATAAGACAATAAATTACTCAGTAAATACTTACTACTCATCTACTGTATACTTACTGAATGCTCACTAAGTACTCACTACTTGCCTAGTGAATGCCTACTGTATACTCACATTTAAAGAATTTTAAATTTATTTTAACATTTTTCTTTATAAGAATTACAAAATTAATTTATAGTTTCTTACAACATTATAATTTAAAGATCTCTGATATAAAACCACAGTATAATATATTATTTTCAAGGGAAAAAATGTTGAATTGCTTAATATGTTTCCTTTCCCTTTATCCATCCAGTAATCCACACCCCCACTCTGCTGTTGTAGACATTGTGGCCTTCATCCAGGTTTACAGCAAAGAAGAACTCAATTATGATTGACAGTGTTGTATACCATAATTCATTCTAATTTTTACCCCTGTCAAGAAAGTAATGACCATGTATGATTTTATTTCTTCATCCCTGCCTTGATCTGCTCCCCAATCAAGAGCAGGTTGTCCAGAGGGCCCTCACGCTTCTCTATCCATGCGATCAGCTCACGCATATTCCTCGGAGGCGGCTCCAGATCGATATCCATTCTGGCTTCATCGTGTGTCTCCTTGCTCGGGTCGCTTGGTTCCGGTGGATCATCACGTGACTGTTTTGATCTCTCTGGTGCAACGTCCATGCCTTTGAGCTCGCTCCCCTCTTCGTCTCCAGTGTGGGACTCACTGCCAAACTTATTCGTTCTTACCGCCTGGTTTGCGATATTGCATGAATATTTCCCAGGATCACGATTGACCGGACTCACCTCGTTTTCCATGTTCAGGACTGCACAGACGGTACTAGTCCTCATTGCAGCCTCGTTAGTGATCCCGGCAGTGCTCGTTTCTCGTCCATTCATATCATCGGATGGCACCTCCAGTCTGACGGTACTGATTGGATTCTCTCGGATAGGCCCTGTAGTTTTGTCCCATCGGCTCTGTGCTCGATCTCCGACATTCTCGACTCGGTCATTATTCGTTACATCTTCTCCATGCACACACATCAGCGGAACACGGGGCTGTACATGTCCTTCATTACCTAGTCCAGACTCCGGTGTAATTGCAGCCTGCACATTCGCGTGCTGATCCTCAACGTTTTGGGTCGGCTTGCGTAGTTCCCCCGACGGACAGAGCAAGACTTGCTCAGAGGTGAGCGAGTCTCTAGAATTACAGGACGTGACAGGAAAAACAGTCTCAAAAACCGGCGGGGAATGCGGAGTCTGGGGTAAAACGGGATGCTCTCGTATCTCCGTCAATGCAGTTGTCGGATTATAGATGCCAGCGCCATTCTTGTCCTCGCCTGCCATTTGGGTCTGATGCTGCATATCCGGGGTGCGAACAAGCGTCGCAGAACGCCTCGTATCGTCAGGTCCATCTTGTAGTGGGGATAGCAGAGATACTGAGTTCGTGCGAGATTGTACTTGGCCTACCGGTACAGACCCAGACAACACCGAGATTGGTGTGGGTAGCTTCACTCTAGATCTGGCAGCACCAGTGATATGCTCGTCATTGCCGGTAATATGGTTCTGCTGCCTGGCCTCTGGTGAGTTAACAAGTGTCGCAGAGCGCCTCGCGTAGTCATGTCCATCTCGCACTGGTGATAGTGAATGTGTCCGAGGTCGCGCATCGTGAACAAGTGTAGACGACGTTGAGACTAAAATGGTCGGATGCGATTCAGCAACGTTGCCGTTGTGTCCATGCTTGATAGAAATATGGTGGTGGTGCTGAGCCCCGGGTGTGTGGACAGGCATTGTAGAACGGCTCGCGATATCGCGTCCATCTCGCACCGAGGGTGATGAATGCTTCCGAGATTGCTCTTGGGGCGCGACGCCAGGGAATGCCGAGCCCTGGGTTGATGAATGCAGTGCAACCGTCGTAGTGCGTGTCAATTGCTTTCTACTACTAAATGTACCTCCGATTAAGAAAGCGTGTTCGTCGTCTAAGAAAATTAAAGACGTACCTGTCACTTAAGCTGGACTGGCCTTTGTCACCACCACCAACTCCATCCTCCTCCAAATGCTTGAGATACGAGAGAACCACCTCCTGCTTCACCATGATCCGGCTTGTGAATCGACTTGCCCATATCTTCCTAATTGTCTCATTTGCTGTCGGATTCATTCTCAACAGACTCTTCAGCGTCTCCTTTATCTCTTCAGGAATCTCCGAGAATGGGGCCGACGCCAAGCCTATTATCGAATAAATGTCCAGTGTATATTTTAATAGAGGAAATTGCTAACCATGCCCGTTGTATCTCTCTGCCTGAAGCCATTCACAATACAACAGAATCTCATCGATCTGTATGTGATTCTCCTTTGCCACGCGAAAAAGCATCTCCTCCGAGTTGGCTGCCTTCGAAGCAGTTAACTGTCGAAGAACGTCTCTAACGTTTTTAGGAATGGAGCCGAACACTGAAAACTCAACAGATAAGTATTCTCTCGGCCATGAGTATAGCAGAAAAGTACTTACAGATGTCTTCCTCGGAAGGTTGGTGTAGAGGAACCAGTTCCTTCTGCCTTTTATTAATATAATAGACCAAATTTGGCATCTGAAACCAGTCATTTCCAGCTTTGACCACGTCATTGACGCAAGCCTTCCTTAATCTAAGAGGAATTGGTTTGTTGGGCTGAAAATGTACATCTAAAAAACCTGTAATTAAAAAAGCAAAATAAGTAGAAGGCCGAAATGGGTATAACGACAAAAATTACCTTCAATAATGTCTCTTCCTTTCCCATTCAGAGTCCTTCTTACTCGAGTAGAACTGGAAGCTGAAATAGATTGAGAAGACATTTAGGAGAGAAAATTAAAGTGGAAATTTGGTTTTGAAAGAATTATAAATATATTTAGTGAAGGCAGACGCTTTAAGCTTTAAAGGCACTTGGATTAGAAAGTGGGAGTGTGAGAATAAGGGGGCGATAAAGATTACACCAGAGGCAAAAACCGATTCTGAGGTCTGGAGAAAATTGTTTCAGAATGTATTTTCAGCCAATCAGGTGAGAGCTTTTGAATTTTGTAATAAATTCCTAGGGTGACAGAATGGGAATCTGCCTCCTGTGTTAGTTGGTAGAGAGGGAGAGGGTTGAGAACTGGGCTGTGCTGGCAAAGTCTTGTTTTCTTATAGTATTTACACTGTGAGAGATCTGAGACAAATCTAATGAACTTAAATCCAGATCTGCGACACATTTAAGCCCTGTGCCTTCCTTAATCTCATATCAGAATCTAAGTACTCCATATGGACTTTCTTTTCCATTCTACACCTTTAATTTATCGGATCGAATGAGTTTGGTATACATCCTTCTATTTTAAGACACAGCTTCTGTTCGTTTCTGCTTACATAGAATAAGGGATAGTGATATACTAGTTTTAGTCTGGAAAACAAGAAAACTATAATAAGACGATCTAACCAATGGAGTGAAAAGAGATGAAATAGAGAGGTGAACTGATTAAGGAAACTTGTATTTTGTAGGCACAGCTGGTATGAGTACTTGCTGCACATGATACACGTCAGAACACAACAGCTGCTTCGATTTCTCTTGGTCAAAGTATTTTCCAGTCAAGATGGGCAAGTCTTCTTTCTTGAGCATCGTGGCGGCTTAGGAAGCCTTCCTTCGATGGCTTCGAAAACGTCAACTAACACGTGTTTGCTGCAATTGGAACTTGGCGTTCAACATTCACGTTCGTCAATCTCAACATTTGCCTAATTTGCACACATGTCACATTGTCGGAATGGCCATCATGCTATCTAGAGGTGAGCAGGCGGCCCGGAGTGCGAGGCTTCGATTCAAACACTTCGGAACGACAAAACACTTTGATGGACTCCAAGCTCACAGACTCACAGAGTAGAAATATCACTTTATTAGAATTATATCTGCAACAATGTTCATCAAGATCGAAGCTGCAATTAGTATTCGACAAGTCTGGCCAATCTCCATTATGACTGAGCTTTACACTGCATAATCCACGACTAACGCCAGTGTTCGCTCCGTCTCGAAAGGCCAAACAAATGTGGTACGACCTCTGGAGACACCAGAGATACCCGTTCGATACAGCGATACATGTCAATTTGTTGAGATACCCTAAGCATAACCCTTCTCTATCCCCGTCCTACCTTCCCCAACCGACTCTATTTTATATCTCCGTTGTTCCACTGCTCAATCATGTTCATCGCCTTCAGGTACTGTTTCGTAATCAGTCCCTGTTGATCCCTGTTAATGCCATGCCAGACATGCAATCGAATAATACCATTGATAACACCATTGACCAGGGTCAAAAATCGTCATCTTCCGCAGTAGCCTTGAATCCGAGGAGGAGGTTACTACTCGACGCAGGGATTTTCGACCAGGTGATCTGTAACTGGAAGAATCAACATATATCAAATGACAAACTGGAAGAGAAAGGTAGCAGATGGATTTTCCTTGCCAAGGAATGTGTATGTAGCTGTTCTCCCCTTGTTCCCTTGCTTCACCCTCCTGGTGAGAGATGCCTCGCCGTAGCCTTTTTATCCTCCTCCGGAACTTTCACTAGCTGCGCCTGCATATCTACATTGGATGAAACATTAATATTCGTTGTGACATACAATAATACCCTCTATAATGTACGGAATAGTCTGGTAGTATTTTCTTGCTGTTCGACAGTCGAACAGGTGAGGAATGGCACCATTCTTACATTGCGACTATGAAGTCGGAAGAAGACACAATTCGTATGGCAAATCAATGCAAGCCATCGTGCTTCGTACGAACCCATGTACAAGCATGTCTGAGGAGACGATTCAGAAATGAAAACGTTGTGTGTTACTCCATCGCACCAACTTTATATATCACTTTCTGACCGTATGATCTCGCTGGTCGATCTAAGTTTATTGTGAAGCCTCGTAAACTTGGGCTGAGGTACTGTACTTCCTCTCGGCTTCCTTGAATATTTTTGGACCCTTGGCATCGACCGGCTCCTTATCGCCGTTGAGTACAGAAATCTTTTAGTCCACCTTTGACTGAAACATTTCGGGTGGTGCACACTCGCGATGAATTATAGTAGGGAATTGAGTTCTGCACTGATTGTTCTTAACGTTGCTAGGGTCTTCATCTAAGAACGCACGGCATAGACATTAACAAAATATGAGAAAAAATTGACTTCCATCTCTGAATTTGAGTTTTGTACTCACATCCATCTGTCCTTGGATGACCTCGCCATTTCTGCATTGTCTCCGGTAAAGCCTCTCAAGATCTCCATTAAACCCGCTTGGTACCTCTTGCTGACCTAAAATCGTCTCAGAAACGCTGATGAGTGCATCAACCGGGTTTATATCACGACAAGCTTCCGTGGACATCTATTCAATTGGCAATCGCTCAATGTCGGTCTCTTTTGGGTTGGAGAGACTTTCTGGCCTGATATCAACATGCATACAGTAGAAATGAGCCAGGTCACATAGGCAGTCTGTAAAAAGCATTGAAACATTCATGGTGTCAGACTAGTGGACGAGATCCTCATGTTTTGCTTGTCTTTTCAGTGTAAGTAATAACGTCAGACTCCGACTGACTTGTCACGCTGATCACGTGATTGTGATTCATTTTGCTTGATCGATTCCATACATCAATGGCTTTCTTCACTTGCACTCTCTTACCGCGAACGTTGTGGCCGTCATACAAGTAAAAGCAAAGAAAACACAATGAGAATTAGATTACATTGTCGCGTACTACAATCATTTTTACTTTTACTCTTTTCGAGAATGCAATGCCCATTTTACTTCCTCATTTCTGCCTTGACCCGCTCTCCGATTGAGAGCAGGTTTTCCAGAGGGCCCTCATGCTTCTCCATGAATGTGAGCACCTCACGCATATTCCTCGGAGGCAGCTCTAGGTCAGCGTCCATACTGCCTTCAACTTGTGTCTCCATGCCCTGCGTAGGGACTGGCGCGGCATCCGTCACCGTTGACCGCAACAACAACCGCGGATAAGCTTATCCGCGGTTGAAATTCCCACGGCTACCGCAGTAGCTGTGGTTGAGCGCCTAGCCCAGCCGATCAAAAATCTAAGCCATTTTAATAAATTTGGGTGACCTTTGTCACATTTGTAACTCATCACACATAATTACATAGGAATTATATAAGCAACAACTGTTGATATCTACTAGGGCCACAAATTAACTGGCTGTTCTTGCGGATATGTGCGGAAACTGCGGTAGCCGTGGAAATTCCATCCGCGGTTAAGCTATCCGCGGTGCGGATCCGTGGATAGAATCCGCGCCAGTCCCTAGCCCTGCGGTCGCTATCCTTGGACAAACCTTCACGTGATTGCTGCAGACCTGACGTAGTATACTCTGGTGTAGGTTCGGCGTCAACATGTCTTTGAAAGCACTAGTTTCTCCTTGTGCAGCTCCAGAACAATTTCTGTGTCCATCTACTACTGTAGGCTGTTTCGTGGCAATAAACGAATATGTGACTTCAGTAATTCCCATATTACTTTAGAGACAGCTCACCTCGTTTTCCTTGTTCAAGATGGCATGGCTGGTACTAGTCCTCGTCGCAGCCTCGCTGCTGCTTGTCACAGCACTTGCTGGCCTTTCTATCTCATCCCTGACTAGGCCCTCCTGTCTGACTACACCGGCTAGATCCTCTTGGGCGGTACCTGGTGATGTAGGCTCCTCGTGCTGGCTCAGTGTTCGACTTCCGACAGCCCCGACTCGATCATTAATATTGTTCGTTACTTCTTCATACACACGTTTCCTTGGGATACAGGATTGTACATATCCTTTTTTATCACCTGCCTCATGACCTTGCACACGCGCATCTTGCACATTCGTGTGCAGGTCATTGGCGCTTTCTGTTGACTCGGGTAGCTCCTCTGAGGGATAGAGCAAGTCTTGCTCAGTGGGCGAGTCTCCAGAATTACAAGGCGTGCCAGGACGAGGTTTCTTGAAAGACGATGGGTCATATGGAATCCCGGGTGAGACGGCACGCTCTTGTATCTCTGTCACCATGATCATGGGTTTCCTAGTACTATTGCGCATCGGCGATACTGCGTGTGTCTGGGACTGTGCTCGGGGTACAGTTCTAGGTAGCACTGTGCCTGGTGTTGGCACGTGCAATCTAGCAGTATCAACGCTGCGCACATCCTTGCTAGTAACGTTGTCGCGTCCGTCTCGCATTGGTAAAATCGAATTCGTCTGAGACTGTACTTGGAGTGCAGATATAGGCAATGCCGAGCCAGGTGTAGGTAGATGCAATCTAGCAGCACTAATGCTGCGCTCGTTCTCGCTGGTGATGTTGCGCTGCTGCTGAATTTCTGGGATACAGACAAGTGTCGTTGAACGCCTCGCTTCATTGTGTCCATCCCGCACAGGGAACACCGACTGTGTCTGAGGCAGTACTTGGAAACGGTGCTTATTCTTTGAATCTGATGCGAGTGGATGCGATCCAGCAGCACCAGCTCTGTACTCATGCCAACTCGTAATATTGGTCTGCTGCTGAACATCCGGCATACGGACAAGAGCTGTCGAGCAACCCGCGATGTCGCGTCCATCTCGCATTAGTGGTAACAAATTCGTCCGAGACTGTACTCTGTTCACAGGTATAGGCCACACTGACTCTGGTACAGGTAGATGCAATCCAGCAGCACCTACACTGTGCTCATTCTTCCTTGAACTGTGCATCTGCATATGAACCTCTGATCTACAGGCGAGTGGCGTGGAATGCTTCGAATTGTTGTGTCCATCTCGAACTGGTGACACTGAGTGTGTCTGAGACAGTATTTGGAGACAGTGCCTAGAATTTGGGTCTGATGCGGGTGGATGCAATCCAATAGAGCTGACACTATGTCTACCCTCGCTGGGACTATGGCCTCCTTTCCAAAGCGCCAAAGAAGGCCTTAAACCGACCGGTCCACCTTGCACCGAATGTAGCAAATGCATCCGAGATTGTGCATGAGGTACAGGTATAGGCAACACTTGGGCTGGTTACGGACAGATGCACACCAGCAGCACCAGTCGTGTGCTTATCCTTGCTGCTGGTAATATTTTTCTGCTGCCGGACCTCTGGTGTTTGAACGATCATTGTAGAGCGTCTCGCAATATCATGCCCATCTCGTGCCTGGGATACCGAGTGTGTCTGAGACTGTATTGGGTGGGCAGTTATGGGACCCGATAAGCCTATTGTAGGTGCATTCAATTTAGCAACACCAGCGCTACGCTCATCCTTGATGGAAGTATGACTCTGCCTCTGAATGTCCGGGATGTGTGTAAATGTTTCAGGATGCCTTGTACCACTGCCTCCGTCTTTCGCAAGGGATAATGAATGTAACTGAGCTTGCGCTTGCGGCACGAGTGTAGACAGTATTGTTTCCACTGTGCTAGGAAGCAATCTAGTTGTACCAGCAGTGTGCTTATCCTCGCTTGGCCTGTCGATCCGCACCTGAGGTCCCAGTGCATGCATAGGCTGTGTAGGACAACACAAGTTATCATGCACGTCTTGCTCTAAGCATGCTGAGTGTGTTGTGGATGGTGCTTGATGCCTGGGTACAGAGAATGCCGAGCCTTGTGGAGGTGGACACAATATAGCTGCAGTAGTGTGTGCCAATTGCCTTCGACTTTTAGAAAGTAGTACCAATCAGGAAAACGTGCTTGTCGTCTAATGAAATCAAAGGCACACCTGCTCCTCTCACCTCCACCGACACCATCCTCCTCCAACTGCCTCAGATACCACAGAGCCAACCCCTGCTTCGTTTTAAGCCTACTTGCCCATATCTTCCTGATCCGCTCGCTTGCAGTTGGATTCATCCTCAACAGATGCTTCAGCCGCTTCTCCTTTATATCTCCAGGAATGTCCGAGAAGGAGTCTGATGTTGAGCCTGTTTTAAAGAAATTATTTAGTATCATTCTTTAAATAGAGGGAAATTGCTCACTATCCTCATTATCTGTCTCCTCTTGAAGCCAGTCGGAATACTCCTGAATGTCATCAATCTGAACGTGATTCTGTTTAGCTACATGAAAGAGTAAGTCCTTCAGCTCTGCTACATTTAGTGTGCACAACTGTCAGATAACATCTTGTATATCCTTAGGAATAGTACTGAACACTGAAAAACCAACTATTAAGTATAGTTCTAGATAGCACAGTAGCAACAATGCTTACAAATTTCTTCTTCAGAACATTGACATACAGAATCTATCTCTTCCTGCCTTTTAGTTACATAGTAGTTCAAATTCCTTGCCTGAAACCAGTCATTTCCAGCCTTCTTCACTTTAGAAATACAATCCTTCCTGTCAGCAAGAGGAATTTTCATATTAGGCTGAAATTTTTTATCCAAAAACTCTATAAGAAGTAAATAAGTAAAAATCCAAAACTAATAGTTTATAGAATCACCTTTGATGATGGCTTTTCCTTGTTCATTTACAGCCCTACTCACTACTATTGTTAGGAATTGTAAAATACAGTAACTAAGTTTGGAAAAGCTTAACTCAAGACTTGGGACTGAGTAGTTTATATACAAAACTCTATTAGTTACAAGTCTAGAGATTGGCCAGATCAACTAGGCTACCTTTGTTGTCCTGCTTAGTAAGAACTCCAGCTCAGTATTATTAACCTCTAATCATTACTAATGGGTGATCAATCCATCAGCAGAGAGAGGGGACAGGAAGGAGTAGGTACTAAGTCAGTTAGGAAAAGGTAACAAAACCTGAGGACAAGGTCTTTATCTCTCTAAGGTTAAATACATACTCTAGCACAGTATTACTTAATAACCTTAACCAAAGACAAGTCATTTAGAATGCTTGTATAGAGAGGGGATCTGGAAAGAGTATAGTGTCTAGAGTAAGAAGTATAAAGGAAAAGACTAGGAGAAAACCTGAAGAGATAAAAGGAAAATATTATACTTACTTACTATATAACTAGCTAGGAACACTTTGTACAAAGACAAAGGACTATTAAAGCTAGGAAAGAGCTAGAGCTAATACTCTGAAGCTCTATGCTTGAGGAGGACTAGTACTAGTGAAGGAAAGGGAACTGAGAGCTCTGAGGAGAGACTACAAGAAAGTAGTCTCCTTTATACACTTTGCTCATATAGATGGGAAAGTAATGAAGTCATAAACATGAGGACTACATGAGGACAACATGAGGAATACATGAGACAATCTAGAACTTTGGTTGTAAGTTCTATGATTGAATACAGAAGCATAAAGATAAGGCTAGAAGTTAATAAGGATAATTGTCTCCTAAACTAAGTCTATTGAAGAAGACTTAGAGAAAGATTTAGAACATTAGTTGTCAGTTCTAGAGTGTACACAAGACAGTCTAGAACTTTGGTTGTAAGTTCTAGGGGTAGTACAGAAGTACAGCCTTTTATATTACAGAAGTTATAAGGAGTCATTAGAAGTCATAATACTCTACCTTATGAGAAAAGTGTATTACAAACTAGTGTACAGGAAGTACAGGTTGAGTCAGACAGAGTCATAGGAACAATAGAGAGCTCTACTTTATGAGAAAAGTATTACACAGTTTACACAGTATAACTAGTCAGGAGGACTTATAAGGAGTCATTAGAAGTATGAGAGGAAGTATAGAAGACATAATAATACAGTAAAGGAGTCATTAGAAGATTAATTTAGGATACAAGAAGACACAAACTAGTGTTAGTAGATTAATAGAAGACACAAACCAGTGTAGCATCGGTCTAAAGGATTAGCCAGCTCTACTTCATGGGAACAACAGTGAAGGGAGT